GCGTCGGCGCCTTCGCCCCTGTTCTCCGGCGCTGTCGACGATCGGATCGATCTGCAGGAGCTCCTCCTTCAACTCATCCCGCCCTCGCCCTCTCTTCCCTCCTACAGCGTGCCGACCACTCCTTCTGGCGGCACGGTGTCGTTAACGTCTTCTTCCTCATCGTTGGCCATTTTGACGTCGACGACGTCCAACGCCAACCCGCCGCCACTGCACCACCAACAACCACCGGGGAGCGGCGGCAACGAGTACTCGTGGCTGAAGGAACTCCAGCAGACGCCGCCCGCGCCCTCGCATTCCCAGCAACAGCACACCGGCAACGGCTGGTTCGACACCGACGCCTAAACCACCACCCTTCTCATACCTTGCTCCCCAAGTAAATAGTTCTCTTCTCTCTCAACCTCACGGCCTTGGTCATCACTACCACCGCCCTGCAATGATTTTTAATATTAAAAAAAATGAAGATTTTAAGAAAGAGAACAAACAGTCCACCATGCTTTGCGTCCGACCAGAGCGAGAAGGAGACGCTGCGGCCATCCGGCGAGTGGTGTATGCCGCGTTTGAGCATCACACTGCCATCACTGAACACCGCATTGTGGACGCCCTGCGCCAGGACGGTGCCCTCTCCGTCTCGCTCGTGGCAGTTGAGGCGATCGAAAGTACGCCCCCCCCCCAAGTGACACTCAGCATCGCGTTAACAACGCGTCCAGGCGGTGATGGGGAGGTAGTGGGCCACGTGGCGCTCTCGCCAGTCCAGGTGGATGGCAACGCGTGTGGCTGGTATGGTCTTGGCCCGGTGGCGGTGCGACCTGACCGTCAGGGGCGTGGGTACGGCAAGATGCTGGTGGCGCGAGCCATCGAGGAGGCTCGCGGGAGCCTGGCCGCGGCTGGGCTGGTCGTGTTGGGCGAGCCGGCCTTCTACGGCAAGTGGTTCGGGTTCGCTACGCTGGAGGGTCTCACGCTGGAGGGCGTTCCCGCCGACCACTTCATGGGCCTTTGCCTTCTGCCACCACACGAGGATCACGAAGGCCGGATCTCGAGCGCTGATGATGGAACTACTGTGGTTGCTCGAACTGCCCCACCATGTCCAGTCGGGAAGGTGACCTTTCACCCTGGCTTCTCCCTGTCGTAGAAGATGTACAATCGCGTGTACGAGCAAGCTCCACGTGACGTAGCTGGTTGTTCGCCGTTTTCGGCGACAGGCCTTTTTCTCGGCGCTCTGCCGGGCGAAGAGGAGATCATCGATGACACAACCAAACAGATGGAGGCCAGCAGCAGCGTAGGGGAGCAGAGGGTAGGACAGCCTGTGGGCGTGAGGCTGAAGAAGGCGTGCTCGTGTTGTCGTCAAGCTCACGCCGCTTGCGACGGGTAAGAACGTGCATCGTTTGCCGATTTGTTTCATTCACAGATAATGTTCTCAGTTTTCCTGTTGATCGCAGGGGGCAGCCGTGCCAACGATGCGCGAGCCTGGGCCAAGCGGCGAACTGCCGCTTTCTGCCAGCACGCAAGCGTGGCCGTCCGCCCAAGGGCACCATCCAGTTTGACTCCCCGACCGCCCCTGCAGCTGCACCCGCACCTTCGTGGACGACCACCTTTTCCTACGAAACAACCTCTACCGCCAGCCTCTCCACAACGAGCGGTCAGTCGCTCAACACGGGACCCGGACGTGGCAAGCGTCAGCGCTCGGAACGTACGCACACATTGCAGGACTACGGCTTATGACCATCCAGCTGTGCCCAGTCGTGCTGACCCTTGCGCGCATTGTACAGCGGTGGCGAGACCTCCGGCCCTTGTGCCACGGCCTGACTCGACGGGTGGCCAAGCGCCCACGACGCACACTTCATCACCAGCGTCGTACTCGTCGGCAACTTCATCATCGTCGCTCTTGGACCTCGTCGCGCCACGGCTCTTCCTTTCTGGCAGACCTATCGAGAGAGAAGAGCCGGCCTCGCCGCCGCAGGTGGATGCGCTGGTGAACCCCAGCGATGGCATCGCCGGCACGGTCCTCTCGCTGCTGGCCGAGCAGATGCGCGACATGCGGCGAGAGAATAGACACCTGCGCGAGGAGGTGCGCACGCTCAACTCGCTTCACAAGCGAGCCGAGCACAGGATCGAGGAAATACAAGAGGAGAACAGGAGCAACATGGAGCGCATCCTCAACCTGCTCGCCGCACAGCAGACGGCGGTCGCGCTCCGCCAACACATTCCCCAGACCCCGTTCTCGCAGCCCATCGACCCGGTCTCGCTTCTGTCGCACTCGCAGCCGCCGCGGATGCGAGCCATCACTCACATTCTGCCCTTCCTGAGCGACTACGACCTGCGGAGCCAGCCCGTGGTTATCGACGACCTATCGTGCGTGCCCCACTCCAGTCGCGCGCGGTCACTTGGTGGTGGCGGCCACGAACTGACGTTCCTCCCTGTGTGTGTCCGTGGATGCAGCAAACCGTTCGCGGCGTACAGCGTCAACGAACCCAACACGGTGGGAGAGATGGACCCGCCCGTCTTCATCTACGCTTCGCCTGCCTTCTGTCACATCACCGGCTTTGACCTGGTTCGTCACCTGCAGCGCAGTGGCCGTTGGTTCTTTCGCTCCTATTCCTACCACTGCCGGGTGACCTGACCTGACCTGATCGGTAACCACTTTCTCTATTCGAGCAGCATGAGCTGTTGGGCCGCCCCATAACGCTGCTGTGCAGGGGCATGGACCACGGCGCGCGCGACCGAGTCCTGCATTTTGCGTTCGCGTCCATCCGCGGGTCGAGGTTGGGTCCCACGTTCGATTTGCCGCTGCTGTGGGCGTCCAAGAAGCGGCACACGAAAATGCTCGCTCGGAGTCAGTTCTTCTTCAACGACGCCGGAAGGGTGCGTGTTACATCTTTCGTGTGTGTCACGCGCAGATCTGGTTGAGGTCTCACACGCACCATCTCAATCCCCCGCAGCCGAAGTGGATGATCATAGTGATAGACGACCACGGCAACGATATGCACCGGCAACTCTCGACCAGCGATCCCTCTCGCTCCTCCGCGTGTGTGGGGCCGGAGGTCATCTACGACGAGTTCGTCCCGCTCGTCGGCCCCTCTTCTGCGCTCGCCAACCTCCAGATCCCCTGCGCAACCGACGCGTCGCCCGACTCATTCGCCAGCAACACTCAACAGTCGGTTGAGGAGTGGAGCGAGAACAGCGTCGAGGGGCCTGCTCTCAGCCGCGGCAGTGGTGCGGACGGCACCCTCACCGACGCCACCGTTGAGCCCTTTGACGACCTCGACGCCCTGTGGATGTCCCTCAACGAGAGGGTGCCCTCTCCAGGTCTTTCCTACACATGAGAGTGGGGGAGAGCGTGTAAATACCATAATACCTCTCTTTTTCGCGCTTTTAAATTCCTCTGAAAAACGCCGAGAAGGCGAGAGAAACTACAAAGAACGTAAAATTGAAAACAAGCAAACAAGAAGCCAAAGATTGGACAAAAACATCGAGATAACAAAAGGATTAATTAAACGAAGTCTAAATCGATTGAATTCGACCTTCCTTCGAAGATGGAGAGGAAGCGGAGTAAGCCCGATGAGGCCCCACGAGACGGAGCATCGGGGGGTACCAAGCGAGCTTACCCCCCCGCAGCAACAAGTAATTATCCGCCACAACCCAGCACCCTGTCATCACATTCTGCATCGTTTGGCCACACCACGCCCAACACCAGGGGCGTGCCACCCCAGCCCTCCCCCTTCGCACCAAATCACCAAGGTCCGCCCCTGCTGCTCGCGTAATCCTCAGAGAGGATGACACGACAACCACTGCCGTTGGTGGGCCACACGCGGAGACTTATAAAAGTGAGGTGGTGCCCAGCAGGACGTCCGCCGAGCATGCCCGCACCCCCCTCGGGAGCGGGCATGGTCCCGCCGGGCTACTTTGCGCCCGCGTTTCCCTTCATGCCCATGACACCCTTCCAGACCATGGCGCCAGCGGACAACAAAGGAGGTACGGACACCACCCTTTGACTTCGTGCAAGGCGCACCTGTCAGGTCCGAGCAATGCGCACCACGCGACGTACGTCGTGGGTCGTGGGCGTAATGGGCTGGTTGTGTGGTGGGCTGTAAACGTGAGTACAGAGGGCATGAAGGCGTTGGAGTGCTTGATGACCCTCCTCGTGGACGAAATGCGGGACATGAAGCGAGGGTTGGCCAGCCTGCACCAAGAGTTCACAGATCTTCGGTTCGTCTTCCTCTGCCTACGCGTTTTTTTTCTTTTTCTTCTTTTCGACTTTTTTTTTCTGACCCACACACGACACAACAGAAAGAAGCACGAGTTGATGGAGAAGGAGCACGCGAGCCGCCCGACCTCTCCGGCCGCGTCCCCCAACTTCTATCCTCTTCCCGAACACTTGCAGGTTTCCTCCTTTCCCCGCTCTGTCTGGCGTGCGCGCCGAAGCCCGAGCACCATCACGCGCGTTCCGTTGCATTGCGTTGCCGTCATGCTGAGACCCACCCATTGCCGCCTCACCCAGGACAAGTACTCGGACCTGCTCGTCCAGCTCCCGTTTCTCTCTCGCTATCCTCTCTTCGCCGGAGCGCCGCCCTTTGTCGTGGATGACACGAGGTACGCGTGCCCTCTGTCTACCCCCCTTGTTCGCGCTCCATGCATGGCGCCACTCCGCCCAACCCTCCTGCCAACGCCTGTTTTGGTTTCTTCTCCGTACAGCAAGCCCGCCATTGCCTTCAAGATTCTAGAGCAGCGCGGCGTCGTGCCGCCGGTGTTCATCTGGGCCAACGAACCGTTCCTGCAAATGGTCGACTTCACCTTGGTACCAACTCCCACCACCAGCCACCGCCGCCGCCGCCGCCACCACCACCCCGGTCATCATGGTCGCGGTGCCTGTGCTGACCAGAGCTGGCCCGTATATGGTATGGGCAACAGGCGGAGCTGGTCGAGCTTCCGCTGCTCAAGTTGTCGATGATCGACTTCAAGGTCACGCGCCAGCTGCGTTCCCTGGTGCGCGAGCCGGGACCCTCGCTCGTCAGCGAAGCGGCGCCCATCTCGCCGCTGCTCGTGAGGAGAGATGGGAGCATGGTCCGCATCGTCACGCGCCTTCAAGTCTACTTCGGACCCAACAAGCGAGTATGCCTACCGAATCGAATTGCGTGGCCGTGGCGCGGTGTTGCATCATCATCATCATCATCATTACATGTGCTGACCATCGTTCGATGTCGTCGTGCAGCCGAAATGGGCCATCATTGTGGTGGATAATGTTGAACAGGACACGAGGGTGCACCACCCAGTCAGCTGGTTTCCCGGCTTGCCTCGGTGGTGGCAGCGAATGGCGGTCGAAGCAGGTACCCGTACGCCCAGCAGCGCATCAAAACGTGTTTTGCTGGACCAGTAACGCGAACACTAAACTCGGTTTCGTGTTGATTGCAGCACAAGCAGCCGGCAACTCTCAAACGAGCAACGAGCAAGGTGAGGCGGGTGGAGGCGAACAACTCGCAACTGCGGGGTCAGACGAGCTGGCAATGGATGACGGCTTCAGTGATCTCATCGCGCAGCTGATGGAGCTGCAGCAGGACCCAGCACCCAGCTCAACGACACCACTCCCCGAACCCCACCCTTTTGTATAAATGCTGATATGAGCAATGTCACATACCATTTTGTTTCTCTACTACCCTCTCCTCCTCTCCACTCCTAGAACAGCGCCATCAGTGTCGTCATTTTTTATCTCTTCTGCACATGACGTGGATTGCGTTCAGAAGGTGATTTGGGGGGGGGGACTTCACGTTGTTCACACGATCAAACCAGAGGGTACGGACTGGCGACATCCGTCGACTCCTGTCATTTCTCGCTCTTCTGGCTGCAGTGGCGTCTCGGCAGGCAGCGAATGGCAAAGAGCGAGCCGTTCGGCGTATCGAAGCCGCCGGAGAAGCTCCTGAGCCCCGTCACGTCAACACCCTCCGAGGCCAGGAATCCCACATCGAGGTCGATCACCACGTCAATCGTGCCATCTCGCAGGGCAGCCACGATTTCGGCGTCGGTCAGGTCGGGGTTTAACGTAACATCCAAGTTTGGCATCACAGAGGCGTAGAGGGTAGCGCTGCCTGTGGCAACGTTAGGTTAGCCACACAACTGATGGAGGGGCAGGACAGGAGGCACTCGGCGCACCTTCGGCGTTGGTGATGGTGGTCAGCGTGGTGGCGGCAAGGAGGGATGCGAAAGAGGTGAACGGAGAGGTGTCCAGCACGGTGAAGACGCCCAAGCCGTTGAGTTGAACAGAGCTTGTAGCTTACCCAGCATTCTTGGACTCCATAGGGCAAAGGAGATGGCAAAGAAGAGCAAGAGGAGGAGCTGGAGCAGCAGGAAGCCCAGCAGCAAGGAGCCAGGGCTAGAAACAAGTAGTTCAGAAGTAGTCTCATGGTTGTTTGATGAATGGACAAGTGTAGGTGCTTATTTAACTATAAATAAAAACTAAAGCTCTTGTTAGTGCTGGTTGTGTCCTGTGCTCTGCATGGCTTTCTTGCAAACCCCCACAAAACCCCACAAACGCCACACAATGTGGGCTCCCACAACTGGAAGGAAGGCATGGTGACATGAGCTGTGGCTGCCGGTATCGTGCCGCCCCAGTTTGACGGACTCCCGTAGCCGACTGGCCCAGCTTGGGTTCTCATCTGTGGCTTGCGCAAAAGAGGAGTGAACGGAGTGGGATTTGAACCCACGCATCCGAAGATAACAGTGCCTTAAACTGTCGCCTTAGACCGCTCGGCCATCCGTCCCTCGCTGCACACTGCCTCGCTGCTCGTGTGCGCCATGCTGCACTGTAGGGTGAAGCTTCAGGCCTGTGAAACCACCTATATGAAGAGTAACACAAAATTAGTCTTACCACAAGGTGTGCAATGTGGTACACTGACAATCTATCAGATTGTCAGTGTACCCATTGGTAAAGCTCAGTTGGACAGATTCATAGATATAGGCCAATTTGACATAATTATATACTAAGGGAGAGGTGTTTAAGGTGCTACTTAAGCATAGTTATAAGTTTAAAAAAATGGAGATTTAAAATGATGTAGTATGGCCAAAAAAGGTTGGGGTGATGTTTGTAGTGTGGCCAAAAAAGGCTAGGGCGCTGCCCGGAATCGAACCGGGGCCTCCTGCACCCGAAGCAGGAATTTTACCACTTAACTACAGCGCCTAGCGTTGTACAATATTTTGCTCCAAACTTAAACGGACGCATATCTCTTTCTGGAGCGGTCTTGCCGTTGTTAGGGAATGTAATGTTCTGGCAGGGGTGGTGCCACAGCTGCCTGCTCGCTTACCGAGTCCAGCAAACGTTGCTGCTGTGCAGCTTCCTGGAACGAGAAGATCCACTTCTCCGTCTCGAGCTCCTGCTCCTTCAGTGCGTCCTCCCTCCACCGATCCACACAGTATATACCGTATTTTGGCTGCAGGGTGTCACCGCGTGAGCAAAGCCACATACCTAAGTCTTTACACTGCTGTCAGAGGGTGCGTGGTCGTACAAAGCCATCTGAGCCGTAGCAGAACTGCACTCGGCACTCCATCATGATGGCTCGCAGTTGCTTGTGTCGATGCCGAAGCAGCAGCCGCTGTACGTGCGAGACAGACATCGGAGCTCTGTCGACGAGGGAGAAAGGCAGCGTTGTGAGTCCACGTGAGTACTATAGGCCATTGAAGAGTGCCGCCAGGCCCAAGAGGGACGCACTTGGGGGTCTTGAGGAAATTGAAGAGGCCCTGAGCTATCTCGGGGTAGGTCAACATCAATGATATCTTCATGATCGGCGCCCCCAGCAGCTCGGCCTGCCCCCCCCCCGATGGTCGTTAGCCAAAGACCAAGAATAGTATGACCCACGCACACCCCATGTAGCGCTGAGTACGTAGGAGTAGCCGTGAATGGTGCAGAACGATCTGTTCACCCACACCATCACGGGGGGAAAGCCCTCCGTCGACCTAGCTACCACCGCTATCGGTTTTCTGCAAAAGTGAGTGATTGAGAGAGAGAGAGAGAGAAAGAAGTCAGAGGGTGAGAAGAACCGGTGAGCCGCAGGGCCAGATTGAATCCAGAGCTCGCCAACGGCGCCACGACGCACCTGAGGTCGTCCACGGCGAAGTCGCTCGGAAGCTGGAATTCGTTGAGGAAGGGAAAGGTCTGGTAGATGTCCTTCCACGACGGCGCCGACGAGTAGAAGCCGAAGAGCGACGTGGGCGTGCACAGCCGCGGTGGCATCCGCCAGCCCTCGTCCAGCGGCGGCCGCGGAGCGGGCAGCGACGAACTCATCATCGCCAGACGGGTGGTCTCGTCCCACTGAGGGTGGTGAGTACCGCGGTCCCAGTGCTGATGCTGCAGCGGCTCAAGGCCGTCGCCCTGCCTACGCCAAGCCTCCTCCGTCCGCCGCCGCTTGTTGCGCGTCGCCGATGCCAGCTCAGCGCCGTTCTCGGGCTCGGGCTCGTAGTCGGCCATCACTTGCGACCACTTGAGTCGCGGGTAGACGAAACCGGGGTGATGGGCCTGCGGAGTGAACGGTCGGACGCCCATGTGTGGCGCCAGCGGGGACGACGAAGAGACAGAAGTGGTCGATGATGTACCGACGAACGGATTGGGATAGGTCCGTGGGGCGTCGTCCGCGGGTAGTCGCAGCAGTTGCCCATACTCCTGGTCGACGCTTGTGCGGTGGCGGTGGTGGTGAAGCGCTGCAGGCCTGTCCACGACGCTGGGTGGCGGAGGAGGTCGTGCCGGCGCTGGGTCGCTGCGTGATGTCGCCGCCGCCGCCGCCGCCGCCCGAGCCGTTGACACCAGCGGAACGGAATCCACCAGGGGTCGAGGAGTTGCGTGTGGAGCCGACGGGGCGGCTGGGGTACCCGGGCGTATGGCCAGCAGCGGGCCGGCGGCGAGTGGACGCAGCACGGGGATGGGCAGTGGAGGTGGCTGCGCTGTGTGAAGAGCGCCTGTGGCGGTCCCGGGGTGGGCCACGAGTAGCGGGATCGGGCGCTTGGGTTCGATGGGGAGGAAGGTGGGCCGGCCGGCCCTGGCCGCCCTGTCGGGATCGTCGGGCGCCTTGCGCGAGGTCTTGGGCCGACCGCGCTTGCGCAGGGGAATGTCGGCGCACAGCTGCGCCTTCCCGATCCGCACGCACCGCTTGCAGGGCCGCGTCCTGTAAGGAGGAGTTGAGGAGTAAAGCGTCCATCAACACACGCACCAAAGCAAAAAAATAAATAAATAAATAAATCATAAATCGTAAATCGTAAATCTTAAATTATAAATCGTAAAGGATCAGATGAGTGTGTAGAGGGGGTTTGTACGTTTCGCAGGCAGTGTGGGACTGGCGGCACAGGTTGCAGGAGCGTGCGATCCCCTTCTTGTCGGGGTCCTTGCTGTCATCTTCTGCGAGTAGTACTTCCTCTTCCTCTTCCTCTTCCCCATCTTCCACGGTAGGCGTGGTCTCCGGGTCGTCCATCGCTGCACCTCCGTGGTGCTCTCCATCTCGACTCGGCACCGCCTTTCTCCCACCATCGCCGCGCTGCATCATCATCTCCTTCTGCGTGCTCGTGCTTCGTTCTGTCATCTTCTGCTCGAGCCCGTTTGTGGTGTTGATGGTGGCCAGCAAGCAACGGGCAACCGTGCGGTTCGTCGGTTGCTGGGTGTGTTGTGTGGGGGGACCATAAGGCGCGGGTTGCGGTGTCGCGGCACCGGAGAAAGCGGTCTTCTCTTTGCTTCCTTACTTCTGTAACTGTTGGGTGGTCAAACACAAAGCCTGGGCGGTGCTCGTTCTTGGTTTTAACTGGGGTTCAGCACAGGAACGTTCAATGTTGAATTTTGGTTGTGGTGATGTAATAGCTGTACATGAGGGAGAGGTTAACCGCTCTCTTTCTACACGCCGCTGACGGCGGCGGCCTGGGCGACCTGGTTGGACTGCTGGCCGGCACCAGCGCCTCGGATCTGCTCGTTCACGAGCTTGGTCTCCTTGATGAGGGACGAGTTCTCGAGCGGCCTCGAGATGGAGATGGAACCAGCGTCGATTGCCGTCTTGTGGCCAGCCAGCTCGCCGCGCACTTGCTCGTTGACCATGTTGACGTCGGTGGCGAGCTCGTGGGCCTGCACTCGGTTGGCGATGTGAAGGGACGTGGCGTCTTCGCTCGACTTCTGGCCCACGAGCTCACCCTTGAACTGCTCGTTCACGAGAGAGACCTTGGGCTTCTCCTTCACGTTCTTGGTCTCCATCGTCTCGGCGGTCTGTGCGTTCTTGTCCTGTTTTCCCCATTGCCACGTCAGCATACCAAAGAACGAAGGAAATGCGACGGTTGAGGGGGGGGGGCGAAGAAAGAACGAAGGGGCCTGTAAGGGGACGTACGAAGCGAGCGCTGCCGCACTTCTCGCAGTAGGCGCCGCCCTCGCGGTAGAAGAAGGTCTTGACGTTCAGCTGGACCTTGCAGGTCACGCACTTGAAGCAGATCTTGTGCCAGCGGTTCTCGTTGACCTGCACCGACTCCAGCGGGTAGGCGGTCTTCTGGCAACGCACGCACTTCTGGCCGGACATGTTTGTGTTGGGTTGGGTGTTGGTGTCTCTTCGTTTGCAAAACGAGTCTGTCCTGGTGACAAAGGCTTTTCTCTGTCCGACAGCGAACCTGACCCCTTCGATTGGGGCAACCGCCAATCCCCCCAACTCCTTTTGGTGGCTGAGAAAAGATTGTAAAATCATTTTTTCTCTTAGACTGTTCAAGGAAATAAAGAAGAAATGCAACATTTAAGGTCGACCTGCGCCGGCAGAGCCTCGTCCGTCTGGCCTTCGGCTGCGTTGTGCGTCTCCTCTGCCACTCTACCTGTGGGACCTCGGGCAGTATTGTGCTCGTTTCCGGCTTCGTTTTCCACATCACAATCTCCAACAAAGATGGACAACACCACACCGGCCCTTCATGATGAAGACACTCCGGCGACGCGCTTCCTGAAGGAGCGCAACGTTGCCTATCGCACCCATCACTACCAGTACATCGAAAAAGGAGGTATCCCGCCGGAGAAAACATAGTTCATTCAGATTTAATCTGTCAACGCACTTACAGGCACCACTCGCAACAGGCACCAACGCGTCGTCTAACGCTCTTGGGGTGGATGAGCACCGCGTTGTAAAGGTGCCGCCTTCTCGCATTGCGCTGTACCAACACACACGTGTGCTGCTTTCGTGCTGGTGTTGCATTCACGTGCGCATAGACGTTAGTGTTTGAGGACAAAGGCACAGCAAAGCCTTTCATCGTGCTCATGCACGGCGATCAGCGCGTTGATACCAAGGCTCTTGCCGCACACTTGGGCACCAAGCGGGGTATGCTACAACTGCTCATCAGCGCTGTTGTGTGGCGTGCGTCATAACCACAAGCGCGTGTAATCAGTGGTTGCGTGTTCGCCAGCGGCGGCGGAGGAGCATACGGGGTACCAGGTGGGCGGGACGTCGCCCTTCGGCACCAAGACGACGCTCCCCATCTTCATCCAACGCACCATCGTCGAAGGCGAGCAGGCTGACAGCGACGACGAGGACCAGGCCAAGGCCAGTGCGGAGGACAAGAAGAACGAAGGCGAAGTCGGAGAGATCTACATCAACGGCGGCGGGCGAGGGTTCCTGGTGTCCCTCGATGTGAAGGATCTGGTGGCCACCCTCCAGCCCACGCTCGTTGATGTCGCCAGCACCAAGTGGGGCTGAGAAAAAAAAACACCTTTTGGGCCAATTAGAAAAAACAACCCAACTCGCCGAATTGTTGGCCGGAGAAGGCCCAACGAAGCCGAAGCGCGCTTGGCGTGTACTGTCAATGGAGGCCTCGATGGACGGAGAGGGATGCCTAGCCTGCGCACGGGCAGGTGTTGCGTGCGACCAGTATATGCAGAATATTCTATTTCTCATCTTTGCCCCCCCCCGCTACAAACCAACCTTTCTTCCCCTCTCCTCAGAGGTCGTCCTTGTGGGCGATGTGCGAGTGCAGGCGATGCGACCGGGTGCAGCCTGCGACGCAAGCGGGGCCGGCCACGCAAGCCCAAGCCCGACCCCAACGCCCCCAAGTCTCATACCGTGCCCAAGCCACGTACGTCGCCCTTCCCCCCAAGCTACGGCTGCGCCTGACCCTTCTCTCCCTCACCCTACTGTCGTTTGCCTTGGCTTCGCCATGTCAAGTGAGCCTTCGCCCAGCGCCGTTCGTCGTAACCTCGGCCTCGGCACCGCAGCCGCAACCATCACCCTCGATCAACCTGGGACAGCGGCCTGCGCCCCACCGCGCGGCCGAGGCCTTCGCCGGTCACTCCGGCATGCGCACAGCTCCTCAGCATGCGTGGGCGATGCCCACCCCATCACCATCGGCCGCTGCCACGCCTCACCACGTCTCTCCGCCGTCTTGGCCACGAGAGCCACAAAGTGGAAGGGCCAACACGCCTCGGTTCGAGGAATCACCGCCTCCGCCACGCGGGCATGACCGTGCGCACAAACGGAAGCGCAGCTCGAGTCATGGAAGTGACGCCGATCTAGACGAGCAAGAGAGTACAACGTCGAGTCGACGCAGCAGAGAACGGAGGAAGGAGAAGCGAGGCGATGGGGCGTGCGCGGAGCCCACACCGCAAACAACGGTGGTGCCTGGCGTGCTGCAGCTGCTGATCGACGAACTGCGGGACATGCGGCGGAGCGTCAAGTGCATGAAGAAGGACGTACACAAGCTGTCGTCGAAACAGCTCTGCTTCAGCGACATGCAGCACGGTACGTACACGTTTCCTTCTATCTCTCGTTTTTTCACATCTGCTTGTGCTGCGATCTCACCAGAGGTGGAGTGCAGAGCTAGCGCAAACGCTCGATTCGATTCCCCTCCCGTTGGGGACTGGCGATGAGCCATGCCCCAGCCCATCGTATTCGACTTCGTCATCGTCATCGTCGTCGTCATCATCATCGCCGTGGACCTCCTCATCAAGGGAACAATCATCGATGAAGGCCGAGACATCTTATTCTGCGGCACTGACAGCAGTGTCGGTTCAAGCGCTCTATCCGCACCTGCATGAACCCATTCGTGCGATGCGAAAACAATTCGTGCTCCAGTTTCCGTTCTTGGCGTGCTACAACCTCGACACGCGTGACGTGCCTTTCGTCATCGACGACCTCCAGTACGCTTCTACTGCAGTCATGATTTGTTAATCGCAACACGCTCAACTCATTCTTTCTTTGTACACAATGCCAGTAAACCGATTGCTATAGGGCGCATCATGCCCGACCCCACCAGAATGCGGTTGCCAATGCCGCACATCGTCTACGCAAATGAAGCATTCTGCGCGACGCTGAACTACGAACTGGTAATCTGCTCTCGTGTGCGTGTGCGTGTGCGTGTGCGTGTGCGTGTGCGTGTGCGTGTGATGTGCATGTGCGTGTGCGTGTGCTAGAGTTCAAGTACGCTCGGGCCTCACTTACCATCTGGGATTGATCTGCAGCACGAGCTGCAAGGATGTCCCATCTCAAGATTGGCATACCCACCGAGGCCCAAAAGGCTCGCATGCTTGAACACCTACTGCACCGGTTCGTTATAACGGCCTTCACTCCTTCGACTATGGTCGCGCCATGTGGAGCCTCAGTGCTCAAGTGCTGCGTTGTCGTTGTTTCTTTCCTGCAGCGCACACCCGGACTTGGGCGATGTCCTCCACTTTGAGATGCTGATGCGGAGAAAAGACGGCAGCGTCATACGCACCTCTTCGCGTGCCCAGGTCTTCTTTGACGGCGACGGAAATGTACCTTTCCAGTTCTCATCTCTCCTGGGCACTCGCGTTGGCTAACAGCGCTGTGCTTGGTGGGCGTAGGCTGCTTGGAACATAGTGTGCGTTGATGGCGTGTCGCCTGTTTCGGCACCTCCTCCACCGGCCAGCACTATCTGGGGTACGAACGTTCCCCTCTTTTCGTCCCTCCCTTTGCCAGAGAGACTCACCTGTCCATCTTCTCCTGACTCTCGCCTTGGCCGCACCGCAACAAGATTCGGACCCCATCACCGACAGCGTGTCGTGGCTCCTCTTCCCCTCCTACTATTCTTCGCCATCTTCAGGCCCCTCTCCACCGACCACATCTTCCCCCTGGCCCACCTAATCACGCCGACGGCCGTCGTTGTACACCATAAAAAGAACACACCAAGTCGCGGCAACTTGTCCCCTCAACTCCGAGAATTTTTGTTTGATTTTATTGGGAAAATAAAATTGGAGGCTGGTGTTCATAAATAGGATGAGTAGCGTAATGAAGGGAGGGAGTTGCTGTGGTTGTGCCGAGGCTGGCCTTGTATGTGAACAGTACGTTGCCGTACGAAGTTCTCTGCGTGTTTATTGTCAATTTCTGATTGAAACTTAAAAATCGAGGTCGTGCAGCCTGCGGCGCAAGCGGGGCCGGCCACGCAAGGTCAAGCCCGACCCCAACGCCCCCAAGCCCACACCACCCAAACCACGTACGCGCGCCTCCCTCCTCTCGCTCACTCCTTCCCTCACCCTCCATCTTGCGCAGTGCCGACTCTTCGCCCTACGCCCTTGCCCTATGGCCACCTCCCGGTCGCTCCGCCAGCTCGCGCTTTTGCCCCGCGACACCCCACGCCACTCGCAGCCACAACAACAACAACAACAGCCGTGGGAAGAGAGAAAACGCGATGGGCGGGAGGTGGTGGTAACTGCGATTGCATGGACGACGAACAAGAGGAAGAGGAAGAGGAAGAGAGGCAAGTCGCTGGGCCGGACCGAGTGCGCGTACGAGGAGAGGAGCTACGACCGCCGACGGCCGCGAATTCAGGCGTGGTGCCCAGCGTGCTGCAACTGCTGGTCAACGAGCTGCAGGACATGAAGCACAGTGTAGATGCCATGAAGAAGGACGTCTCCCGACTGTCGGCCAAGCAGCGCACCTACACCAACATGCAACACGGTGCGCTGCTCTGTCCACCACACACGCCTGTGCGCAGTTTCTGGTTAACGCGTGTGATGGTGGCGACAGACCTGACACAGAGATTGGACTCTCTTCCGGCCATCGTGCCCCCGATGGCACCGGCCAGGTCGGAGCTGCTGGTTCCACGTCCAACGGACTCGGCGCGGGCGGCTCGCCTGGAGTTCCTCCGGCAGTTCCCCTTCCTCGAGAGATACAACCTCGCCACCCGCGACGTTCCATTCATCGTTGATGACCTTCGGTACCACGCTCTTTCTCCGTCTATCTCCTCCCCATGCCTAATTGTGTCGTGTGTCGTGTTTGTCGTGTGTCGTGTGCCGTCGTGTGTCGTGTGTCGTGTGTCGTGTGTGTCGTGTGTCGTGTGTCGTGTGTCGTGTGTGTCATACCAGGAAACCCTTTGCGATATTACGCTTCTTGCCGGCTACTCATTGGGAGCGTGGAGTGCCACTACCCATTATGGTCTACGCCAGCGCGTCCTTCTGCGAGCTGACGCAGTACGAACTGGTACACATAGCGCCCACACTACATCGATGGATGATACTCGGCCCAGCTGAATATTGCCTCTTTGGCTGCTGCGCAGCACGAACTGCAGGGCTGTCCGCCCGTGCATCTGGGAGTGCCGGACAGAACGCAACATGGCCAGCTCATCCAGAATATTACCCATAGGTTAGTCCCTCGATGTGCGTGGTGTAGAGCCTGTGAACGGCGTAAACGCGAAGGCTATCTATTGGCTAACGTCGTTACTTTTGTTTCAAACAAACCGGGCGTGGTGTAGGACCTACGCAGACATAACCGATACGATACAAGTGCACCCGCTCATGCGAACCAAGAACGGCAACATCATCAAAACGACGCTCCGCCATCAGGCCTTCTTTGATGATGACGGCGATGTACGAGCCCGCGCCCCCTAGAACACTCGCCGGCACAATAGCGTGTAAACTAAATGAGCTGTATGTGTTGTTGCTGCTGCTGCTGCTGTTGGTTGGACGGGCAGATATCTTGGGTGATGGTGTGCATCGACAGCGCAGAGCCGGCCCGTGGCGACGAGGTCCCGCATTTTAGCCTCGCGCACGGTGGCTGCACGGACGGAATGTCCCACGGTACCACCCGCCACCCTTCTTCATCCCCTTCCACACGAGGTCGCTGACAGTGTGTCCTGCAGAGGACGTGGAGAGAGCGAAGAAGATCCTCTTCCCCACCTTGTCCCCAACCTAGCTGCCGATAATATAAATAATCTCTTTGTTTTTTGTTTTTTTTGGTGTAAAATATATCTTTTACACCAAAAAAACATGGAGCCTAGAGGACAGGTGGATGGAGCACAAGGGGCCAATTGTGCTTCATGCGTGCAGGCTGGCCTTGTGTGCAACCAGTACGTGACTACGTCCTTGTGCATCAGGTTTTTTTGTTTGATTTTAAAAATGATTAAATCAATGAAAATAGGCAACGGCCGTGTGAGAGATGCGTGGAGGCGGGCACAGGGGCGACGTGCAGCCTGCGGCGCAAGCGTGGCCGGCCACGCAAGCTCAAGCCCGACCCCAACGCCCCCAAGCCCACGCCGCCACCACCCAAACCACGTACGCCGCACCCCCCCCCCGATCTTGAACTCCGACTTTTCTAAGTACTATCTCGCCCGCCTTGCCTCGCGCCACACCCAGTACTGCCTCTATGCGTGGCGCGACCACCCGCACCGCCAGCTTCTTCGATGAACAACCCGGAGGCGAGAACACACACAAGTGCGACCGGCAAGCGGAAGCACGTCGAAGGAAACAGTGACGACGAACTGCACGAGAAGAAGCGAGGAGAGGACGGTGACGACGACGACGACAGCAATCTTGGACGGGTCGGCGCAGTGGCCGTGTCGACGATGGTGCCCAGCGTGCTGCAGCTGCTGGTCGACGAACTGCGCGATATACGGCGGAGCGTCAAGGGGGTCAAGAAGGACGTCTCCCGGCTGTCCTCCCAACAACTCTCCCTCGCCGACCGGCATCAGGGTACCTATCCGCGTGCGTGCGTGCGTGTGTTCGTGCGTGCGCAGTGGCATGTGCGGCCAAAACAACAACAACCAACAACCAACAACCGGTCGGTCGTAGGCTTGGTGCAGACTTTAGACGCCCTTCCGGTCACCAGCGCACCGGCCTCTTCCTCCTCCCTGGGGTCGCCCTGGCAGTCGCGCTCTTCCAGCCTCCAGGCCTTTGCATCGCCGCAGCCGCAGCCGCAGCAGTCGTACTACCTGGCCCCGGGCGTGGCCGAGCTCTTTCCACACTTGACGCTCCCGGCTCGGGCGGCCCGGCTGGAGTTCCTGCGGCAGTTCCCCTTCCTCGAACGCTTCAATCTGGCCACCCGCGACACACCGTTCGTCATCGATGACCTCCGGTATGTGATTGCATTGCTCGCCTGCAGTCCGCCCAACCCCGCGCGCCCTGCACACGCATCTTGATGACATCAGAAGTGCACATGTGTGCGGTGGTGCTCGCACAACAGGAAGCCGATGGCGTTCTCGCGCGCATGGCCGGACTTCACGAGGGGCGTAATGCCCACTCCGATCTTTGTCTACGCCAACCCGGCGTTTTGCGCGTTGACGCAGTACGAACTCGTACGCAACACCTGCAACGCCGTCGTCCCCTACCATGTGCCTGGCTCGGCTGCTTTGTAGAGCTGGCTGACTCGTTTCATGATCTTGTTCGCTCGATCGTGACCAGCACGAGCTGCAGGGATGCGCGATTGACAAGGTGGCCATGACCGACCAAGCTAACAAGCCGACCTTCCTGCACCATCTGACGCACAGGTCCCTCCCTCTCTCTCTCTCTCTTCTCTCACTCACTCCCCCTCCCTCTTTCCCCATTTGGGGACCCGAAAGCTGACCCGTCGCCACCAATTGGCAGGCCTCACGAGGACATGACCGGCGTGCTGCACTTTTCCTCGCTGGCGCGAACGAAGCACAACCTCATCTTCAAAGCGCACCTGCGCTGGCAGGTCTTCATCGACACCCAAGGCAACGTACGTGTGCCCACTCTCTTGACCTAATGCTCGCTTCCTGCACCGCCACCGCGCCCCCGTTCACACCACACACACACACACACACAAGTCATTATGGTCGTTCACCTGTGTGGATCGCGTGGAGCCGGCCAGCCACGAGGAGCTTCGGGCGCACTCTCCGCTCTTGGGTCACGATATTGAGAGTTTCCTGGTGATGTTCCCCTCCTGCTCGCCTTTTTCCGACGCCTCATCGGCATCATCACCTTCTGCTTCTTCTTCCTGAGGTGTACCACACAACGCGACAGTCCTTTGTTTTTTTGTACATTTTTTCCTCAACCATCAGCTTACAAAACACCATTGGCTTCTTTCTGCTTCCTGGCCCTCTTAATAGGTATACCACTGCGACCAGGTCACGGGGACCGGGAGGGAGAAGGAGGAAAACGGTGGTGGTGGCGGTGGTGGTGGCGGTGGTGGCGGCAACGCCGCTGAAGCCGCTGAAGAAGGGGTCGGGGTGACAGAAGAAGACCCGCCTGATCCGGCCCAGCCTTCGGCGCTGGGCGGCCGTGAGCGCGAGGAGGGACCACCTGGCGACATGAATGCACTCATGAGGGCTCAGATGTCATGTGCCGTGGTCGCATCAATGCGTGTGTGATGGTCATACATACCAGCAGCGGGAGGAGCGTTGACATTCACTGCCGGCTGAACGGCAGCTAAGTCGGCAGGGGCAACCGGCTCGGCCTTGTCGATCACCGTCAGACCCCAGGCCTCCTGTGTGAACAACACCCGGCACACCCGACACGCAAGCGAGGCTGAGAACGACTAATCAAAGAGTGACTAGTGGGTGGCTCGCACCTTCCCGTTCGAGTCGAAGAAGGGCTGGTTGCGCATGTGGGCGGTGTAGAGCGTGCCGTCCTTCGCTCGTAGCGTCGATAGCATGTGCAGTATCTCCCCCACGCCCAGCACCGACCTGGCTCGTCATATGGGTGGCCGTCAGTCCAGTGGTGATCGAATAGAGGGACGGAGGCGGGTCGACCAACCTGTTGCTCTGCATGTGCCGCGAGATCAGGTCGATGTTGGCCGGCGAGGCCAGGAATATCTTCATCACCATAAACCCCTGAATCTCGTGCTATCGCGTGTGTGTTAGTTGTGTGTGTGTGTGTGTGTACATCAGTACTGGACTCAGCGGAGCGAGGCGCTGAGGGCAGCTTACCAGGTGGTATTGAGTGAGGTCGCAGAAGGCCTGGCTGCCATAGACCATCACCGGCATTGGTCGGAACATCAGCCGCGGGTCAATCACTCGCACCAACACGATTGGTTTACTGCACACACACACACACACGCACACGCACACACACGCACACACCGCCGCACACGCAGAGCTCAGATAAATGAACAGCACACGCCGGTTCACACACGGTCGTACCACAGGTCGTCGATGACGAAGGGCATGGAGTCGAGGTCGTAGCTGGACAGGAAGGGAAAGAGCGAACCGAATCGGGTGCGCGAAAGGCCGTCCGACAACGTGATGTGGTCCCGGAGCGAGGGCAGTGCCTGGTGGTGGTGTGGGAGGTGGTGGCGGTGGCGGTGGTGGTGGCCGAAGGGCGGCACTGCCCGCGTGAGCAGCTCAGGTGGCGAACGCTCTGCGGTCACAGTGCCCAGAGAGTCCAGCTGTCGCTTCAAACCTGCGCAGCGATGAACTCAGCACTCCAGTGTATCGGTGTGCGGCGTGTGCGCGGTTTGCAGTGGTGCGGGCCGTACTGTGTTGCATGGAGTCGAGCGAGTCCTGGTTGGTGGCGAGCTTGGCCACGCTGTGCTCCATGGTCTTCACACTCCGCTGCATGTCGCGCACTTCATCGAGCAGCAGCGCCAGCACGCCGCTCACCGCAAGCGATGACGACGACGATGACGATGAGTGCCGGCGTTCGCTATTGTGCTCCTCGCATTGGCTTCGCCTCCGCTTGGCACTCGTCCCCTCATGGCCGCCGCTACTGGTGGCGGTGGTGGTGGCGGTGTAGGAGCCATTGTCGGAGTCAGAGTCGGTGGGCCGACTGCTCTGGCCCTGGTCTTCCACCACCAGAGGGCGGCTGAAGGGGCGCAGGACGCAGGTCGACCACTGCCAAATAGCCCACCATATATCGTAAAGTGAAAAAATAAATTTAATTGAATAAACATTTCTGGCTTACATGTTGTTTCGCATGGAAAATGAAAATGTAAAAAAATAAACAAACAAGATTTACGGGCGGTACAAATCTTCGGGAGGGTTGAATCGACGCGGACCTTCCTCGGACGGCCTCGCTTCCGTCGCATCAAAGGCGGCACCACAGCCTCGCCTCCTTCTTCTGGTGTGGCCAACATGTCTTTGGTGCTAGCGGCCGGGCTTTGGCGTTGCAGTTCTCCACGTGATGACGAACACGTGCGTCTTGCTGACGTCAGCCTCTTTTACCTGACCATCGGAAAGAAGCGACACACGCCCAGGCCGCACACAACACGACGACGACTAGTGGTACAACACACCCCGCAATAAGGTTGATGGCGGCGGCGAGGGTTTGTTTGATTGTCGTGTCGTGCCGTGTCGTGTATCAGATGAACTCGATGAAGTCCACGCTGGATGGTGGGGCAGGGTCGACCAAGTCCTCGCTGATCGGCGAGAAGTGCTGCTGGCTGACATCGTCGCCGCCGTGCTGGTCGTGGTTGTCATCGTCACCATCTTCATCGTCATGGCGCTCCGCCTGTTTCTCGCTGTGGTCTTGGTGGTCTTCCTGCTGCGTCTGCGCCTGCGCCTGCGTCGCTGCTTCTGCGGGACTCGTCAGCGTCATCGCGACCGGTTGCGGCGCGTCGGCTTCGCGCTGACGCTGAACCAGTTCGTGCCGCAGGGACTCCATCTCGCGGTGCGCCTGGGCCAGCAGCTCTTCGTGCTGCCGGGCCTTCAGGCGCTCGCTGGCCAGCTCGAGCGCGGCCTGGTCGGCCCGCTGCCGCTGTCGCACGGCCTCGGCCTCAGCCCGCGCACCGCGCAGCTCCTGCCGTCGGGCCTCGGCCTCGCGCGCCTTGGCCGTCTCGCGGCTCGGCCGTCGGTCTCGGCCGAGCATGGCGCACAGCAGATCACCGAAGACGCGCTGCTGGGCCTTGAGCGCGCGCACCTGGCGATCGAGCCGCTCGCTCTCCCGCACAATCGTGTCAACAAACTCTGTGGCGCTGCCTGCGTGGTGGTGGTCGCCATTGCTGCTGCGCCGCCGGAGCCCCTCGGCGAGGGCCTCGCCGACGCGGCCCAGTAGGTCGGCATCGCCCAGCAGCTCGGCGATGGCCGACGGTGCACCTTCATCGAAAGAGGAGTCGACAGCGGCGACTGCGGCGCGTGATGATCTCTTCTCGCGCACCTCGCGTCGCTGCTTTTCGTCGATGGTCTCCTCAAGGAAGGCGATGTCGCCGATGGTGCTGACGATGCGACCCGACGAAGCGTGGTCCTCGTCGTCGTCCATTAGATCACCATCGGGCGACGCCGACGCGCCGCCGCCCCGCGGCTCTGAAAGAAAGAGGAACTCGGCGACCTGGTCGACCTCCACCTCGACCAGACCTCGGGGCTCTGTTCGTGGTGGCCGCGTCGCCGTCGTGGTGGCGGGAGCAGTGAAGAGCGGACGTCGTCGCTCGAGCTCGGTCGCCTTCGGCGTATCGACCTGCCGCTTTCGCTTTCGCAGTTTCTTCATTTTCATCGTCTCGTCCATGCCCTCGCCTTCGCTTTCGTGCTTCTCCTCCTCCTGGTCGTTCTCCTCCAGCGCGCTGCTTTCAGCCTCTTCCTCCTCGTCCTCTTCTTCATCGTCGCGTTCTTCCTCCTCCTCCTCCTCGGCTTCGTCGTCGTTCTTCGCGGCGAGCTCCTCGTCGGAGCTGCCGTATGCGTTGTCCTTGACCGGCTGCTTTCGTGGTCGCCCGCGAGGCCTTTGGCCAGCCGGCTTCTTCGCCTCGCCGCCCAGCGCAGGACTCGACGAGACGCGACCGCCGCCGCCTCGGCCGCCCCGCCCTCGGCCTCGCGCGGCGGTCCTCGAAGCCCTCGGGCTTGCCGGCACGGCCTCCCTCTTCGCGTCGTTGCTGTTGGCAGGGTTCAGCGGGCCTGCGTGTGTGTGTGTGTGACACGTCAGCTAGAACAAGAACGAAGAAGAAGAACGAAGGAGATGTTACCGAAATCGTTCAGGCGCTGATGTCGGTACATGTGCCGCAAAAGGTTCTGCGCGCTGATCTCCCTCCCGCATTCCGGATACAGACAAAAGCTGTTCACGGTGGCGACAATGATTCATCGCGTTCGAGTGGAAGAGAATCGGTGTCAACTGCACGCACGAATGCGGGTTGCATTGATGAATGAGTTGTTGAGGTGCGTACTATGTTTTGTCACCGGGTGCTGCATTCCGTCGAAGCTCCGCCTAGAGTGAAGAAGACCCAGAAGGGGAACAGGTCATCGATAAGCTTCTGAGAATGGGGGTGCAGCCGCACACGCACACGCACCACCGCACACACGCACACACGTACGAAGAGCTTTTCCTCCTGTCCCAAGACTTGGGCCAAGGTGAGGCCCAGGTAGTTCTTGGGTAGGGCGTCCTCCTCCGGCTTCGCGGTGGCGGCTTCGGCGGCCTTCTTGCCCTTCTTGCCGCGCGGCTTGGGCGAATTCCTGCCGCCCTGCTTCTTCTTGCCCCTCGCTGCACCCTTGACCTCCTCCTCTTTCTCCTCCTCTTCCTCTTCCTCCTCCTTCTTCGCGTCTTCGGGTTCGTCCTCGCTGTCGGCCACCTTCTCCTTCTCCTTCTTCACTTCCTTCTTTTCCTTCTTTTCTTTCTTCGTCTTCTTCGCCTTCTGTTTGCCACTCTTCGTGGCCTTTGCCTTTTTCTTCTTTTTCTTCGGTTGCTCTGTCGACGCTTCCTCCTGTTCTTCTTGCTCCTTCTCCTCAACCTTCTGTTGTTCCTTCTCTTTCTCCTCCTTCTCTTCCTCCTTCTCGTCGCTCTCTGCGAACCTAAACTCCTCCAGGTCCTCTGCTTCGACCGCCGCTTTTCGCTTCTTTTTCTTCTTTGTCGGCGTGGTGGTGCCCGCAGGCGCAGGCTTGCTCTCTTCTTGGCCCTCGACGCTGCTCGCCTTCTTTTCCGCGGCCGAAGCTTCGGTCGCTGCTGCGGCCACCACGCCGCCGTTCTCCTCCGCGAGCGCGCTGAGCACGGTGTCCAGCGAGTCCCTCCTCTCACGCGAGTCCTTGAGTGCTGGCTGGGCCTCGCCGCCGATGTCGTGCGGCTCGTCGCCTCGTTTGATCTTCTTGAACTTCATGCTGCCCAGGCCCTGCTTGTCGATCTCGCTCTTGCGTTTGCGCGCGGCCGCCTCCTCCTTGGAGGCCGCCTCGGCTTCCGCGTCGCGTCGCCGCTGCTGGAGCCGCCTAAGGCGCGGCGCGGTCCCGGCCTTGGTCGGCGTCGCCGCACCTTCGCCCACCACCGCCGTCGCCGCCGACGCACTGGCCCTGGCACTGTCTCCAGGGCTCTCGGGATGCTTGCGCTTGTCGCCAGCCTCGCTCGATCGACCCTCGTCCTTGCCGCCGGGCTTGGGGGAGGCCACCGCGGCGGGGTTGAGGTCGATCACCGCCACCGGCTTAGAGGAGGCCGCTGCCGCGGCGTTTATGTCGAGCACCACCACCGGCTTGGCATCGGCGGCCTGCTTGCTGCTCTCCGTGGATGCCCTCGAAGAAGAGCCAGCGGGCGGCTGCTGCTGCGGCTCCTTCGCTTTCGCTCTTTCCCTCTCGCGCTCCTTGTCGTGTTCTCGTTCGCGATTCCTTTCCTTCTCTCTTTCCCTGTCGCGATCCCTTTCTCGATCCCTGTCCCTCTCTCGCGGCCTGTCTCTCGCGTCCTTCGCCGTGTGCGCCTGACCTCTGTCCCGCTCCCTCTCCCTCTCCCGCTCCCTCTCCATTTCTCTTTCCCTGTCCCTGTCTGTGTCCCTGCCTCGCTCCCTATCTCTGTCTCTTTCTCTTTCGCGTGATCTGTCTCTGTCTCGGTCCCTGTCTCGGTCTCGGTCTCTGTCCCACCGCTCGGCGCTGCCTCGCGCCCGTAGCCGCGGGTCTCGCTCGTGCTCTCTGAACCGCTCGCGCTCGTGCGGCGAGGAGCGGGCATAGCCGCCGCCGCTGCCGATGGGGCTGCGGCTGTCGCGCCCCGCGGACGGCTGCTGGCCGTAGTTGGCCGGGACGACCGGCGACGGACCGACGGAGGACGCCGGCGCGCCGAAGCCGAGGGAGTGCGGCGCCGCTCCGGAATCGACGATGGTGGGGTTGGTGGGGTCGTACATGCGCGACGCGGCGGGCATCGACCCGTAGGCACCACCACCGGCGAATGGCAGCGGCCGTGCTGATGCCATCGGCGCATAGTAAGGCCCGGCGGCGGGAGGGAATGCTGGCCCGCCCATGGGCTCTCTGCTGTCCTGCTGGGCGTAGGCCGGCGGACCCCACGGTCGGCCCATCGTGGGCGCGGCAGTGCCGGGCCGGCCGAAGGTGGGCATGTCGGTGGGCGAGGCGGGCTTGGCCCAGCCGTTTCGATACATCTACGCCAGCTGGTCAGCAATAATTCGGAATGAAGGATTTGGCACAATCCCAATTTCCATTTCCTCAACAAAACAAAATTAAATTTAGCGCTGCGATGAAGATTACAAAGAATGCGCTGCGATGTGTTTCATTCTTGCAAGATGAGACGTTGCTTCAGAAAGGTACCGTTAAGGGCGAGGGGGAACCAAGACTACGTTGCGTTGCAGCTGCCCCAGTGCAACGTTGGCTCTGATCTATTACCTGACCGTTGCGCGCTGCAAGGAGCGTCAATCAAAGGCAATAAAAAATAATCACTAATAATGCTTTTCTTTTACAATTTCGGTTGCCAGAGATTATTGATGTTGTAAAAATGTATATATTTGAATTGACATCAACATCTCTTTCGCTATGTTTAGGCACAGCACGAAGGGCACGGAAGGCCGTGGATGCCGGCGTTGTCGAGGCAGCAGCAGCACTTGTCCCACATCGGGCCGAGGCAGGTGATGCAGTCCTGAAGACCATGCTGGCAGTCCTTCACGCACTTGTAGATCTTCTCACCGCACTTGACGTTGTCCCAGACCTAATACGGGCGCAATCTTTAGTGCAGGGTCCTTCAACAAGATGAAAATGCAATTGAGGATTCAAAAAAATAAATAATAAATAAATAAAAATACTTCCGTGAAACGGTCCGGAAATGATGCCGGACTTAAAAAGAAGGAGCCAAGGCGCACCTTGCAGCAATGATCGAAGGGGGCGGGCTCGAAGAAGGCACGGCACTCGGCCTCGCTGGCGTTGGCGCACTTGTGCTGGGCGAGGGCGAGGAGGACCTTGGCGTGGTGGGGGTCGAGCGACGCGACGTCGATGTCCTTGGGGATGAAGGCGGCGTGGGCCAGGGCGAGAACCGCGGCGAGGAGGACGATGGCGAAGAGGGCGACCTTCATGTTGTTGTATGAGTTTTGCTCGAGCACTGGAGAAAGCCGGGCGAGCCAAAGAAATCGGTTGCCTGGTCGACACGATGTGTCCATTGGTCGAAGCTCTGCCGACATTTTTAATTTGGAACTATACTTCGCTTGTTCTTGGCGCAAACCCTGACACCCAATAGGGGCCTTTGGAAGCAGTTAAGGTCGCGTGGTTGTTTTCGGGCGGCACCTTTGGGGCATGTGGTCGGCGAGTCGAGCTGACACGTTACCAAAGGGCGGTCACTTGATGCCCTCTTCACAAACAAGACGCAGAGAGATCAAGGCCAGGCAGGCCGTCGGTTGTGGGAGTCATCACCACCCTCCGCTCGTTCCTTGTCGGCCTCGTCGCTGTCGCCATCGGCCTCCCAATAGTCGTCCTCGAGGCTGAGGATGACGTTGAGACGCTGGACGACTTCCTTGAACGCTGGTCGCTGTTGCGGGTCGTTGGCCCAACACCGCTCGATGAGCGCCCGCTCCTCCTTGCCGAGAGATGCCGCCAGTGGCGGCCGATCGCCGTTGGTGACCGAATACACTATCTGGTACGCACCTTCCATCGCCTTGTACGGCTCCTCGCCTGCGTTGGTTGTCGTGCGTTCAGCAATTATCATGCGCACGCCAGCGCGTGGAGGGGGACGTACCACTGAGGAGCTGCCAGAAGCAGACAGCAAAACTGTAGACATCGGCCTTCTCGGTGTAGGGCTGGTTCTTGAGCACCTCTGGCGCCATGTACTGGAGAACAATGGGGAGCACAAACACAAGCAGGCGCGCCGATAAGCTCGCGGGCAGCTTGCCATCATGGCAGCGAGAGTGGGGAGGGACTTACTGCTGGGGTGCCAAGACCACGCGTCATGGTCCTGCTTAGGGACTTAAGTCGCGCCAGCCCAAAGTCTGCGATCTTGACCACCAGATTGCCGTCAACCTGCAGACCACGACGCGTAGCCGGCCGGCCATCAGACACCACCCCGTGTGCTTTGCTCACATCACTTAGAGTAGTCGTAGGAGGGAGTGTACGAGGCAATTGGAGGGGCAGAGATCGCGGTGGAGGATGGAAGAGCCGTGCAGGTACGTCATCCCGAGGGCGATGTCGCGCGCCATGCGAATCAGCTGATGGTGGTTCAATTGTTCTGGTCGAGCGATTACATGAGAAAGGGCTTGTTGGGGGCTGGGCCAAGGGTGACTAAGCAGGAGAGATTACCTTGGAGCGCGGCGTTTCGTAACACTTCGGTCAAGCTGCCATGAGGCATGAACTCGGTGATGAGCATCAGCGCAGGTGGTGGCGTGTAGCCCTGAGATGCGAGAACGAGTGCGTGGTCAGTGCCCAGCTCTCGGTGGGTGAAAGGCGTGCTGCCAACGTACGAGGAACTGGACGATGTTGGGATGCCTCAACTGGCTGTGCGCATGAAACAGCAAAGGGAAGAGTCGTTTCTCGTTGACATGTGGGGGGATGGAGAACAGTAGTGGCAAGAAGCGACTCGCACCTCACGAGAGCAATTTCCTGGGTGAAGGCGGTGATGGTCTCGTGCTCTTGCATGTGCGTGGGCAAGTAGAGCTTCTTCACTGCTACGTCCAGGCCGCGCCATTGGGCTCTACGTGCGGAGCAAGCTTGCTTAGAGCACTGTGAGCTGTTTTTGGACCAATGGGTGGCACTACTTACCTGTGGACGACGCCGAAAGAGCCGCAGCCGACCAATTCGCCCATCAGCAGCTCGTTGCATTCGAGCTGCGGGATGGTCGGATCCCTCGTGAGAGTATTCAATGCTGCGCGCACGGACACAGCGGCGTATGTGAGAAGTGAGAGTGCCAAGAACCGCGCATTGATGTGTTGGAAGGGAGGCGTGTCGGCACCTCGAGTGCTACCACCGCTGCTGGAAGGAAGAAGAAGAGAGCTCTCGGAGGTCTCTGGCACGGTGGCGGTTGACGACAACGACAGAGAAGAAGAAGAAGGAGAAGAAGAACTGCCGCGGAGGTTGACGATAACGTGGCAGTGGAGTATGAGGAGCAGGAGGGCCGGCAGGACCTCGCCGATGAGGTAGTACAAGAAGCGCGTGACGATCTTGAGCGCCTCGCGTCCGCTCGCCCCGTCGGTGTGCAGGTTGTACTGGTCGGGCGTCTCGAAGAACAGCGACAGGATCAGAAACGTGACGCGCGCGATGAAGCAGATGATGATCAGCCAGAGGCACACCACAAGCAGCGACTTGCGCATGCATGTCAGTGGCTTGGCCGAAGGCTGGAGACCGAGATGGCCGACAGCAGCAGTAGCAGCAGCACCGTTTCCCGGCCCGCTGATGGGTATCTTTTTGGTGATGATGAAGCGATCCGCCTCAGCTGTGTCGACGCCAACGTGGCGATGGCCGCCTTCGAGCTCGTCGTCTGTGACTTGGTCAACTCGCCACTTGGCCAGCGAGTTACTCCCCAGGTCGCCGTCGAAGGTGTGCGACCACCCCTCATCGTCGCTGGCCGAAAAGCGCACGTCGATAAAACTCGACTCGTCAGAGGCATTCCTCGGGACGCCCCTGGCGGTCCTGCCGCCACGCCTGCCGGCTGCAGCCTCGCCGACGTCGTTTTCGCTGTTGTTGAGGCTGGTCGATGAACTCTTTCGCTTCTTCGTCTGCGAGGGTGTGTTGTCGCCGATGGGTGCTGTAGTGTCGCCAATCTCGAGGTAGCCGGCGTTGCTGTCGCGGTCGAGGCGGCAGAAGAACGGGATGCCCAGTAGACCGAAGGCGATCGCCAGGAGGCAGTAGCCGGTTGCGAAGAGGGCGCTGATGGAGGTCTCGACGATCATGACGCTATCGCTGACCTCGCCATCGGAGTCGTTCTTGCCGCCGCCGCCTTCTCGTCGCTGGCTCTGGTCCTGGTAGGTGAAGGCCAGGTAGAGGAGAACGAAGTAGAGGAGATAGAACAGAATGTTCACGATCGCGAGCACGTAGAAATTGCCCAGCAGCCAAATGTACTGCCTGCATGATCGCTCCTGCGGCGCGTTCGGTTTCTGTGTGCGTGCCGTGCGTGTCGTGCGGCGTAAGTTCCACGGCGCCCTCGATAACATTCAATTCTGGGTGTGAAGCAAACGTACGGCGCGATAGATGAAGAAGCAGCAAGCAGAGAAGAAGAGGATGCCGGGAATGTCGTCCAGGAAGTCCCTCGCTGAGCGCGACGCCGAGTAGTAGATGGAGAGGCCGAAGAACAAACAGCGGACTAGACCGACGACCACGAACAAAGAAATGTTTTGATAAATAACCTCTTGAATATTATAATAATAATTAATAATAATTACAAGGGCGTGGTGTACCTATGCCGTGAGTGGCGATGAGGAGGAAGAAGACGTTGACGCGGAGTGCCGTTTCTTTCTTGTGATGGTAGTAATAGCACAAAAAGAGGGACACCAGGCCTAGTGCTCCGTTGCAGGACATTAGACTTGCTAGTGTCCAATCGTCGGCGTCCATCTTCTCCCCACTCGAGAATCGGCGGATTTTCTCCTTAGAGGAAATGCGAATGGGACAAGCGAGAGAAAGATGGGCAAAGAGAGAGCAGTTCGATGTACTAAGTCCGAGTGTGGCTTGTTTTCGTTGTCATCATTAGCGCAAGTGTCTGCTGAGTACTACTTTTACAAGGACATTTCCTTGTGCCTTGCGGAATGCGGTTTGTTGTAAATTTTGAATTCCTAGTGTTTGTAGCGCTCTGAAGCAGGTCTATCAGAAATATTTGAGTTATGTGGGAATTGTCGTTAATTTCTTTTCCTATCCGTAAAAAGAAAAGGTTGGTATCGTACAGGAAAATTGGGTGGCCGAACAGTTCGCCGCCCTACTCGGCTGACACGTCCAGCTCCAGACGCGTCTGCGGGCGATGGTCGTGGAGCTGGAGGTGACTGGGAAGAGGGATGTGGGAGTGGCAGTGCGGGCAGGTGGTCTCCGCGGTCTGTCCCCTCTGCTGTCGCTTGACCTCCTCGTAGATGCGCATCCGCTCCCTCACCTTCCGGTGGTCGTTCTCGCGCTTGTTCTTGAGCTCGTCCTCGCTGGTGCCACTGTAGGCGAAGTCACTCTGCCCCTGCATCATCATCTGCTCCATTTCGTGCTTGAGCGCTATGGCCTCGCCGTCCATGGCTCTTCCTCGCCACCAGCTCTTCCGCCTCTGCTTCTTGTCGTCCTTCTTCCGCCGCTTCACCTCTTCGTCTTCTTTCTTCTTCCGCTCCTTCTCCTCCTTTTTCTTGGCTTCCTTCTTTTGCTTCGCCTCGTTCATCATTCGCTTTCGTTCTTCCATTTGCATCCGCTTTAGGTCCGATCCAACTCCTGCCACCCAACTCACGTCAGCTCTCTTTGTCGCTACCGACCACTGATGCGGGCAAAGTACGCACCGGTCTGTTCGAGTGTATT